AAAAATTTACTGCCGCCATGGCGCCTAAACGCAAAAGAAAAGGGGCAAACTCTTGATCCCCTTTCTGATGAAATTAATTTAAGTACTCATGGATGATGAAAATGGTCCATCATCAAAGAAAAATTCTAGTAAACTTACCCGGCTTAATGCCAAGAAGGAAAAGATTCCCCCTATTGTGATAACCACTTCCGATTTCCATGCTCTTGAACTTCGTCAAAGTTAAGTTTTCACTACAAATTGGACGTCGGGGTGAATGCCGTGTATTGGATGAAACCTTGGACGGATTTAAATGTCTTCTCAAGTATCTTACTGAGAAGCAGCACAAATTTTTTACTTACGACACCAAAACTGAACGTGTGTTCAAGGTTGTCATGAAAGGACTGCCCAGTGGTGAATCCCTGGATCAGATCAAAGATGAACTGGCAAAATTACTTGGAGTTGTGCCACTCCAAGTAATCAAAATGAAAATGAAATCCCGTCCTGGCGATTCGCGCAACGGGATTTCTAATGATTTTTATTTAGTTCACTTCAAGTCTAGTGAACTAAACAACCTTAAGGCCTTAGAAAAAGCTAGCCTTATGCTCCATGTCCGAGTGAAGTGGGAACACTTCAGGAAGACTGGAGGAAATTTCCAAAACCTCACTCAATGCCGTAAGTGCCAGGGATGGGGTCACGGAACAAAAAATTGCTACATGCCAGCAAAATGCATGAATTGTGGTGATTCCTCTCACGCAAAGGACGACTGTCCTGTGAAGGAAGATCCTAAGAAATTTAGGTGTTCAAATTGTGGTGAAAACCTCAAATCCAATTTTTGGGAATGTAAGACTCGCAAAGCGATCCTACAATCTCGTTCTAAGCGCTAAGCGGTAACCAGGTAAGAAACGCTCCACGTTTCCGAACAGGTACAAATTCCTCTGCTGTTAACAACGGTCAGCGAGGAACTTCAAATTTTTCATCTGTACCTACTCCTCTTGCTGCTAAAAATGTTCAGTGAGTTAATGGTGCTACCTATGCAGCTATTGCAGCGGGTAGAAATCAAAATACTAGCCAACGTAATTCTAACGGAAATTTTGACAATTTTGACTTAGGAAGCATTACTGCCCCTAAAATGAATTTTTTACAGAAATCATTAATTGACATGATTTCTGATATGCTTAAATCTAACTCCATGTTTGATGCTATTCAAACTGGGGTAAAATTTGCAAATAATATTGTCATGACTTTAAAATTCAGTAATGGATTTTAAAGCACTAAATATTTTAAATTGGAATTCTCTATCTCTTAAAGATAATGAACACAAACTATTTAACTTTTTGAGAGTTCATAACGTGCATATTGCCGTTATAACTGAAACGTTCCTTAAACCTGACCATAAGGTTAAGAAGGACGCAAATTATTTGATTTATAGAAATGGTCGTCTTGATCGACCCTGTGGTGGCGTTGCCATCATTGTTCATAGACGAATCAAACATAAAATTATTTCTTCATTTGAAACCAAAGTTTTTGAAACTTTGGGAGTTTCTGTAGAAACAAAATTTGGACAACTTACGTTTATAGCTGCCTATTTGCCATTCCAATGCGTAGGCCAGCAAAAGAATTTTCTCAAGGGTGACCTTAGTAAACTTACCCATCGTAGGTCTAAATTCTCCATTATTGGTGATTTTAATGCAAAACACCGCTCATGGAATAATGCTCAAAGCAATTCCAATGGTAATATTCTGTTTGATGATTGTTCTGCAGGTTATTACACTATTCAATATCCAAACAGCCTAACATGCTTTTCTTCTGCAAGAAATCCTTCCACTATTGATTTGGTCTTAACTGATTCATGTCAACTTTATAGCCAATTGGTTACCCATGCTGACTTCGGTTCTGATCACCTTCCAGTAACTTTTGAAATATCCCAAGAAATAATTTCTAATCCCAAAAGCTCTACTTTTAATTACCATAGAGCTGATTGGGAGCAATATCGAACATTTATGGAATATAACTTCGATCCAAACATTCCTTTGCAAACCAAAGATGAAATTAATTATGCTCTTGAATCTCTGACTACTTCTATAGTTGAAGCAAGAGCTGCCTCAGTACCAAAATGCGAGGTTGAATTTGATTCAATTACAATAGACGACGATCTTCAGCTCTTGATCCGTCTTAAAAATGTCCGTAGGAGACAATATCAAAAATCACGCGATCCTGCCATGAAAGTTATCTGGCGGGATTTGCAAAAACAAATTAAAAAGCGATTCTGCCCTGAGGAACATAACTTTTGAAAATAATGTTTCTTAATTAGACCCGAGTTCCAAACCCTTTTGGAAACTCACAAAAATTTTGAAAAAAACCTCAAAAGCCAATTCCAGCGGTTAAAGAAGGTGTTAAAATTTTGATCACAAATTCGGAAAAATCTCAGAAACTTGCTAAGCAATTCGAGAGTTCCCATAATTTCAGTTTGGGTCTTACTAGTCCTATTGAGAATCAGGTTGCTCGGGATTTTCTGAATATTTTCTCTCGGGAAAATATTTTTGATGATTCCTGGGGGACTGATTTGGACGAAGTAAGGTCTATGACTAAAAAGTTTCAAAATATGAAAGCTCCAGATGATGATGGAATTTTCTATATCCTCATCAAAAAACTCCCAGAGAGTACCTTGTCTTTCTTGGTAAAATTATTTAACAGATGTTTCCATTTGGCATACTTTCCTGATAAATGGAAAAATGCAAAAGTTGTTCCAATTTTGAAGCCGGATAAAAATCCAGCTGAAGCTTCTAGCTACCGCCCAATAAGTTTGCTTTCTTCAATAAGTAAACTTTTTGAAAAGATAATTTAGAATAGAATGATGCTTCACATCAATACTAACTCAATTTTTGCAGATGAGCAGTTTGGATTTCGCCATGGGCATTCAACTACTCATCAACTTGTAAGAGTTACCGATTTAATTCGTTCAAACAAATCTGAAGGCCCCTCAACTGGAGTTGCTCTTCTAGACATAGAAAAAGCACTCGACAGTGTTTGGCATGAAGGTATGATTGCTAAATTGAAAAAGTTTAAGTTTAAGTATTATGAAATTAGTTCAAAATTATTTAACTGACAGAACTCTGCAGGTAAATTATCAAAATTCCAAATCTAATCGACTACCTGTTAGAGCAGGAGTTCCTCAGGGTAGCATTCTTGGGCCTATATTGTATAACATTTTCACTTCGGACCTCCCTGATTTGCCTCAGGGTTGCCACAAATCTTTGTTCGCTGATGACACAGGCATTTCCGCTAAAGGAAGAAGTCTTCGTGTTATTTGCAGCAGACTGCAGAAAAGTTTAGATATTTTCTCTTCTTATTTACAAAAATGGAAGATTTCTCCCTACGCTTCCAAAACTCAACTTATAATATTTCCACATAAGCCTAGAGCTTCGTTTTTGAAACCTAGTAGTAGTCACATAGTCACTATGAACGGAGTTCCAATTTCCTGGTCAAACCAAGTGAAATATCTTGGATTAATACTTGACCAAAAATTAACTTTTAAAGATCACATTGGCATTCAAGCCAAATGTAACAAATATGTTCAATGTTTGTATCCTCTTATAAACAGGAAATCCAAACTTTGCTTGACGAATAAACTTCTAATATTTAAACAAGTTTTTAGACCGGCTATGCTTTACGCTGTGCCAATATGGTCTTGTTGTTGCACTACCAGGAAAAAAGCAATTCAAAGGATTCAACGGAAGTTCTGAAGATGATTTTGAAGTTGCCTCCCTGGTACAGTACTACCGAAGTACATAGAATTTCGAATGTTGAGACTTTAGCACAAATGTCCAACAAAATAATTAATAATTTCAGGCAAAAATCGTTGCAATCCTCAATTGCAACGAATAATTCCCTTTATACTTAGATAAGATTTAGTTTTAGTTTTCAGTTTTAGGATATCAATTGTTATACTGACATGCAGGTTTAAAAAAAAACCTGTTTAAAATACTGAATTGCCAAGACAGGAAAAATGTAAAAACACTTAGCTATATATCATAACAATTAAGGCTGGTAAGTTACTGTAGTAACTGGAGCACCTAGGTTAAAATGAAATGTAATTTATTTTGAATTTGGAACAAATAAAGAGTTAAAAAAAATGATCGAATAGATGACGCTACAGACATATTGAATGGCGGTCTAAAAGAAGGGTAAGTTGTTCTGTACGATTCCTCAAGAATACAGATGCAACTTCAGGTCAAATTCTGTCATTATTATTAAGGACTTCATGTTGACATAGTTGATTAACAGATATGTTGTTAGAGACTTCGGGAATGAATGCTAAGAAGTCGCGGTCACGGTCTTTTTCAGAAAATGTGCTCTATACTTCCTGAAATAAATTTGCAAAGAGATTGCAGATTTCAGAAGGATTTTCACCTACATTTTCGTCAGAATACATTCGTGACTTTTTAAATTCGTTTTTTCATAATTGAAAAAGTTCTAAGGACAAGATTTGTCTTCATTTTTGACTTAACGATTATATTTTTCATGTGCAGAGGTAATGGCTGTGTTGAGTTGGTTGCATATGTTATGATAGTGTTGTAAATTAATGAAGGGTGATCCCAAACTTATGATCGGTAGTTTATGTGCCCATTGCAATCAAAATCCACATACATGAAGATTCTTATACTATAAACTTAGAGCATAAAAGTTTCATCATTAAATTCATGCAGGAACTCAAACCATGAACAACGCCCGCTGCATAACCTTCTATTAGTCAGCATAATTACATATAATTCCTCTACATTCGCCATAACAGCAATCTTACCCCCAGCAGCACGAGCCGAGAGCAATATGAGCTCACGTAGCAAATAAACATATCCCATCATGTACCGACGCAAATATTCCCGTCTATGTTTCCAACAAGCAGACATGAGAGCAAACAAATTCACGCGAACCCGCTCCACTATTGTAGTCTGACTCCGAGCCAACATCAGTTCATTATCCTTTTCGGTATTCTTCTTCTTTCCCTTCTCATCATTGCACAGAAAAATCCCAGCACCATCCGGACGCCAGAGGAGGACAAGGGCAAGGAAAACTACACCATGACGGGCTGGGTGGTACTGGACCGGGCGTCGCCCATCTCCCGCCACATACCACCACTGTGTTCAGAGGCCCAGGACTCGACGTACGCGCGGGACGTTGACCTCAAAGCGTGGGCCGAACTGCCAGGTAAGAACTTCCGCCTTGTTTTTCCTCCTAGCCCTTCAGTAGTGTGTGTGTGTTTGTGTGTGATGCAAATTTACAAGGTAAACGCAAAATTCTCTTTGATGGGACCAATTTATCCCGGACACGTTCGCCACCTTTTTTTCTCATTTCCACAGAGCTCCAAGTTTGCGGGTGAATCTGTTGATTCAGCAAAACTTTTCCTCCCTGTGCTTGTTCCTTCGCAGACCCGCAGCCGGGCTTTACTGAGAAATGACACGTGCCACGCGTTACAGATTGGCAGGATTTTGTTATTACCCACGGCGCTTTTTTTTGCGGTGATACCAAATGCGTTGGTTGATAATATCAAACGGCGACGACTTTGTTGTTGGATGACGAACAAGCATTCGCCAGGCGACACATTTTGGAATTGGATTAAGTGTGGCTCAGAGGTGTTGGCTTTGAGATTAGAAAGTTTGACACGAGTTCAGGGAAATTTGCGCCAATTTGCAAAGTTGACGCGTGACGGAAGGTGATTTATTTTTTCTCTTCAGATCAGTTTGTGGGTTAGATTAACTTTCTTTGCAAATTGGTGATTTGGTTGTGTGACGGAATGTCGTGGTTATGATTATAACAAAATATTAGAAATGTTTTTGTAATATATTCATTTCAAATTTTGATCATTTTGATGTTATTTTTAAACTACTTCTTTAAGGTTGGACTCCTTCGCACAGTGCAAAAGGTGAAAACAAACTACCATTATAATGGAGTTTTCTGCCATAGCTTGGGGTGACCATAATTGACGAACCAACGAGCGAGAAAAGTCATGAACTCGGTCAATGGTTCTGCGCCTAATTTGATCACAAACTTCCTTCTACACTAATTTGATTCTTATTACCCTGCTCAACCATCAACGTCATTTTATTTCTGTCCCTCGCTTCCCACCGTCAGTAATAGGTTGTTACACAGAAAGGTCGGTTGTTACCGGGCGTGGGCGCAGCAGGAAACATACAAAACGACACAACATCGATTTCTAATCCCGTTCATAATTGATGAGGTAAACTTTTTTCTAGCCAGTTTGTGTCACACCGGAAAACAGGCACGTAACATTTCGGGATGCATGGTATGTGTAGTTTCGATTAGCTACCGGGCGGGAATGTATTGGGTAAGCGGTTCGATGCCCATAGGGATTCGATAGGAACATTTGTGCTGCCTCCCAGGAAGTCTTCAAATTAAATAGGATACATGATTGATAGCTGAACTTAGCACCGATCCCACTGGGTGAAGCACGTGGAACTACCTTTAGGCAGAAATGGTCCCTCTATTGCAACAAACAAGCCGTATTTCACGAAATGGGACAGCAACGGGACTCGCTCGCTGATGGTGAGACATGACCTTTTCGCCGCTGCTGTAGATTTATGGAAGGCAACCAAACATTTACTTGGCCAAACCGTCTTGCTCGTGATACACAACAGCTCCACTGGCTGACTGTAGGTAAAGGGACGAGGGAGGAAGCCTTTTTCTGGGGATAAAATATGCATGAGACAGTGAAATAAATGCCGCATGCAGACAGAGTAGCAACATCAGCTCCCGACAGGACTAAAGTAAACATCCATCCACGAGTAAAGTTTTGTGGAATACTTACTGGAAATTGTAGCGCAACAAGAGTGATAGGTTGTTTTCAAAAGTTTTGCATTAAAATAGAGGGAAAAAACCCCAGTTGGATGAATGATTTTGACAGAGCGAAGTTTGTTTGGAGGAGTTTGGGAAATTTTTAATGGTAAAATATTGCCTGAGCCGAGTGATGCTTGTTAAGGACAAACTGCGGTACTCGCCGTGGCATGCAACGAAATTTGAATTCAAATTTAACGTGAAGTTTGCTTGCGAAAAGTTGCAATCCCAATTACCTTGAGTGAATAGGCCAGGAACATAGCATTGTAATATGATTTTAAGCATTGAACTAATAACAACGGTATGTAAAGTTGGATAATGCATTTGAGCCTTAATAAATAATAAATAAATGTTGGTCTATGCTTCTGATTTGGTCCCAATCGTTAAGACTCAGATTTGAATTAGAAGGCAAAACAATCAGTTTCAATGAGTGGTTATGATATGCATTTAACAACCATCTGCCTTCACATTCGCTTGCTCGTGAGCATGCTTGGCATGCACAGTTGTACACACCAACTGCTCATTTGTTAATAACTTTTCACACCGTTATTGAAAATTGATTTTCTTTAAAGTTTTGATAGATAAGGATCATAGCTTACGATAGATATGCAAAGAGTAGGTAAATCTTAACATTTGAATCAACACTAATGAATTTTTACACATAAAGTCCGAGATGTGCAGCGAACATTGCTCACTTGATTTTTACAACGCAAAAACAAATACAGTTTATTACTAGAATTAAAATCTACTTTTTCTTACATACCTACTACAAACTCTAACTTTATTCTATCTACTGCTTCAAACAGAACTATTTTTTGTCAATTGTGTGCAAAGTTATTAGCAAATGAGCAGTTCGTGACCAAAACTGTGTATGCCAAGCATGCTCGTGAAAGGCTGAACTTTTAGATATGAAATTCACTCTATTTCTAAACAATTCAAATTTGAGTGGAATCTACTCATATCGATCAAAAGTAGGGCTACTTAAAATTGAGTAATCAAAGTTTGAACTGACAAGATGACAAATGAACAACTTCTTTAGGATTCAGGTCGATGTTGTCTATTCGTCATCTTGTCAGTCCCAACTTTGTTTACTCAATTTACAAATTTGGGACCAGTGATGGCATAATCCTCACTCAAATGATTTTGTTTCGCTCTCAAGAACTCCCAATATCACGCGAGATACTGGAATAAAATATCAAGCATGATATTGATTTAACAAGCTCCTTTGATATTGCGAGACAATTCAGAATATGTAAAATTGTAGCTACGAGTTGACTTACCACCACAATGATTCCGTAGCACATCGTATTCCTATAAAGAGAAAGCATAGCTTGCTATCTCTCTTTACTCTTCACAGAAGACAGACACGAAGTTACTGCTACCAGCAGTGATGGAAGTTTCGGTTCGTGTTCGGGTGTACATCATAAATCTTGAAGCTCAAACTCACCCCAGTTTGGTGAGAATTGTAGCTGGTGAGTTTTGTTAGCATGATATCAGAGCAACCGTATCACAGCTTTTAATTTCATCCGATATTGTCTGCTTGATGATTTTTGTTTACGATACTCAAATGAGATTATTCTCATTGGTGAGATTTGATCTTTTGATATTTTCCCAACACTGGTTGGGACTGACAATCTACTTTTGACGGATATGAGTAGATCCAATTTGGGTTGTTTAGAAATAGCGTAAAAGTCACTGACTGCAGGGCACTCACCCAGTTACGCAGCCCACAAGTTTGTTCTCTCGTGTTGTTACCTAGTCTTTGTTTTCATTGACTGAGCATCACAATCCTTGCGTGTGATGATAAATGATAAAAACAGACACTGCTCTAGCTTTCAGCAATGGCATCATTCTAGTTCAGTTTTAATCATCATTATGAATTTCAGCCCTGGTTGAATGAGAAAGAAACAAAATGCAGCTTGAAACATGTTCATCGAAAATAGATATAGCCATTTAAAAAAGCAAGTTTTGAAAGGTTGGACAGCACTAGCGTGCACAGGAATCTTGTTAAGGAGGGGCATTTTTTTTCTATGGTGCATTTAATCTGGGGATGGGGAGCACTTCAAAGTGCGTGGTGGATGGTGCTGTAAATCAACCACTGTTTCCCTACTGTTCAATTTAGCTAATTTTATTAATTTTTTGCTCCGGCGGTGGTTCATCTTCTGCAATGCAAACTGCTTTCAGCCAAAGGAATTGGAATTTTAATTCCATCGACGATGTCTAGGATGGTCAGTTCGTCAAATGGTTGCATTAATAACCGGAATGATACAAATGTTGTTGCCTTGGTGGTTGGATTCAGCTGAAGTCACATCAGATGGTGGTGATAGCACCGACAAACCGACATAAATGACCAATAAGAATCGCGTTCTCCTTTCGCATGCACACTGCGTCGACACGTACAAGGTTCAAACAGTGCGCATAGCAGTGAACAAACAGTAGCGGAAATGCTCCTATAGTTGCGGTACGTTAGAAGCGTTAGGTTCCTATAGTTGTGCATGGAGACTCAATACACAACTATAGGAACCTAACGCTTCTAACGTACCGCAACTATAGGAGTGTTTACCCTATATTGCTCTTGTTCAATCCAATCTTGATTAGTGGAGTTGAGTACTTGGCACTGATGAAGTCTGCCAGTAGTAGACGAAATACGCGTATCTGTCAAAAGATAAACAATTATAACGGAATTAAAAGGAAATAAACCAGCACACTCAAAGCTCTTCATAAAAGTATATTGCTGTTTTTGTCCTTGCACTTGGCTTGTACTCCAGCAGTGCTCCCAGCCATTGTGCTGGCACTGTCAAAACATATTGCCATAAACTGCTCCCAAGAAATCTGCATCGCTCTCAGGACCTCAGAAATGGTATTGAAGATGGTCGTCGCGACTGTTTTCAACACCCGTCTCACACCCACAAATGTTTCCGTCTCATCTGCAATGATTACCACAGGTTTTCCTCGCAAGGTTTTCGCAATGTTCCGTAACATTACATTGTGCAACGGCGTAATCATGTCATTTTGAATACGGTTACTTGTGTACTGGAAATTTTTAGCACCCTTCGCCAAGTGTTTTCCAGCATAGGATCGTAGTTAGCCACCAACTGGGAGGCACACTTTCCCAGAATGTTCATGAAGTGGTCGGCCATCTTTGCAAAGTATGCTAGATGAAACGTTCCATCTCGATGAACATTTCAAATGGTCCTATCTGCTTTGATCGATTCTCTTCATCGACTTTCTCTTTTCATAGCCCCTAACAGATTTCGCGTTAATTCTACCACATAGTTTGATAAAGGAGGTTCTTATCTATAGACACGCTATAGCGTCCAAAACGTCAAATACAACAGATAAAGGTTTTGCAGCTG